ACGTCATCACTAACGTCATCACTATCGTCATCACTATCGTCATCACTGTTGTCATCACTATCGTCATCACTATCGTCATCACTGTCGTCATCACTGTCGTCCCCATCATTAGCTTCATCACTACATCAACCTTAATTAGAGTCATCGCACCTCGTTTTTCTATTAGGATCTGTGCGTATATCAGGAGTGTATAATAATAGATATACTAATTACTATTAGATATAATATACGTATATAATACACGTATATAATAGATATAATATTATCAGGAGTGAATAATAATAGATCTATTGTTATTCACTCCTGATAATATCTATTATCGATTTAATAGATATAATAATATCTATTACTCTACACTAGCTCCTGTGTATATCTCATATGTATATCTCTATGTGTTCCTATAGGCGTCGGCACTTCACACACCTGCGCAAATCGCTGAAAGAAATCGACAGCGTCTATCCACTCTCAGCCGTGAGTGCGCTGCCGGCGCGCGCATGCGCACTCACAACGTCAGCGTCGCCTGGCAACGCCGAATCCTCGTCGTCGAAAGCCACAAGCTGCTTTACTGCTCCGTGCCGAAAGTCGGCAACACCAACTGGAAGCGTGTGCTGCTGTCGCTGCTCACGGAGGCGGCGCCGCTGACGATATCGTTCCACACTGCGCATCACTCCGCAGATCGGCTGCGAACGCTGGATAGCTACCCGGCGGCGACGCGCCGCGCTATGCTGCGCTCCTTCTACAAGTTCGTGTTCGTGCGCGAGCCGTACGAGCGCTTCCTGTCGGCGTTCCGTAATAAAGTTCTCGGAATCGGCGGCGCAGACGAAGCGTACGCGAGACTCGTCGGCGGCGCCATCTGGCGCGCGCGAGGCAACGTCACGCAGACGACAATCTGGTCCGAACTGCGGCGACACCCGCCGACGTTCGCCGAGTTCATTCGCTACGTCGTCGCGCGCTGGAAGCGACGCGGCTCGCTCGACAAGCATTGGACGCCCGTTGCCGACCTGTGCAGCGTCTGCGACGTCGGATACGACTTCGTCGGCAAGTTGGAGACGGTCGACGAGGACGCGAGTTACTTGCTGCGCGCGTTAGGGGTCGGCGACCGGGTCGCGTATCCGTCCAAGGTCACGAGCGGCTACAAGGTCAACGAGTCGACGACGAAGGCGATGAGGTCGGAGTACGGACGGCTGACGACGATTGAGCGCGATCGCGTGCGAGAGCTGTTCGCGAGGGACTTCACGTTGTTTGGATACGATCCGACATTCTAACGGAAGAATGTAACATCTACTGGAACATCGTGGAACATTTACTGGAATTCCTTCTATTACCAGTGCCCTGTACACCTGGAGACCTGGAGTGTTTCATCCACAGTGCCAAGTCCTGTGTGCTGCAGTGGCTAGGTCGAGCGTAGTGTAGTGACCCGAGAAGAAGAAGAAGACGAAGAAGAAGAAGAAGAAGAAGAAGAAGAAAAGGAAGAAGAAGACGAAGAAGAAGAAGAAGGAGATCGTAGAGTTGTGGCTAGGTCGAGTGTAGTGTATTGACATGAGCAGAAGATCTTGCTGCAGTGGCTAGGTCGAGTATATAGTGCAGTGACCCGAGAAGAAGAAGAAGAAGAAGAAGAAGAAGAAGAAGAAGAAGAAGAAGAAGAAGAAGAAGAAGAAGAAGAAGAAGAAGAAGAAGATGGAAGAATGACCGTAGTCTCCGAATGGTGGGAGTGGGTGATTTAGAAATAAACTCATGCCGAATGATTGTAAATAGCCCTAGAATTGATGCTAACCCCCTGAATGCAGTAATTGATTGAACAAAACTAATCTCTGAAACTTTATCCTACATATGTACACATGTGTAGGGTCGACATAGAAATCGAAACGTAGGGAGGTTCTGGCCATTCTTATGTGTATGGGTGGATCTGCACGATGAGTGTGAGACACGACAGTGATGATCGAGGACGTAACTTATAATATAGAGAAGTTCATTCTATATATTATGTTACGACTTACATAAGCGCAATCTGCAGTGGCCGCCGAGAGCGTACTCTCTCTCTCTTTCTCTCTCTCTCTCTCTCTCTCTCTCTACCTATCCTCTCTCTCTTTCTCGCTTTATCTTTTCTCCTTATACAGGGGAGGCTTCCCTCTTCGACCTATGCGTGCGCACATCCCGCTTTCGCCCAATCGTGGCGGTTAAATTTCTGAATTTGACATTGTGCCAGCTCCCTGGTTTTACGACTCTTCTTATGATTGCTGATGACTATTTACTGTTGTCACATACATTAGGAACTGCAATATAATAACGAATAAGGAGAATTATGCCGTCAATATTATCATCTGTTAAAGAACATTGTTAATCGCCTGAAGTCTTGGTCTCAGTCTCACGCGGATGCGTCACTCTCCCTGTTGATCTCCACCTTCCTCTCTATCGGCCGCATCGTCCTCCGTTACTCCCAGCCTTCTCATCTCTCCCTCCACTCCATCCCTCCATCTAATTCCCTGTCGCTCTCTCGTCCTTCATTGTGACTTTACCTTATCATGCTTGATTCTGATTATGCACCCCGTTCTAAACTTAACAACTGACAAACCACAACTATACCGCAAGAACATATCCGATCACCTACCCAACAGGAAACCGGTGTGTGAAATCAAATAAAACACGTGAACAAGAACCTAAGAGGTTATTAATCATAAGCACGCAACAAGTTAAATTATCAGTCGATGCTTTACAATGTATTTATTGTTGATCCAGTAAGCATATAGTCTTTACAATCTTATAAGAATTCAATGATTGGCAATTTCTTAAAAAAACTTGTATAAGGTTACTATGTATTACTATGTATAATTTAGAAACATATTATATACCATAGAAATGTTGTATTTACATTTTAACTACAACTAACTTCCACCCATGCAACCACAACAATTCAAAATGCCTTTTAAATCACAACAGATTTTTACGTATTAAAGTTAGAAATGGATTTCATTGCCATTGCTTATCGTAAGTGAAGTATTAGGCACTTACTTGGAAAATTTAGAAACATCCTATTAATCTCCTACCATTTTAAACATCATAACAGGCACGGAAAAAAATATTATTTTACTAAAATGCCTGAGAAATCATTCTGGCACAAAGACGTTTGCGGTCAGCACGCAGCACGGTCACCCTTCCATTCATATAATTATTCAAACATTCCATACGTTATCACTAGATGGCACCACAATAACTTTCCGCCATTCGGGGGGGGGGGAGTCAAGTGAAATGCAGATGTCATTTCTCAGCTGACCAAACGTGGGCGTGTGGTTGCCATGTAAGAAGAATGACTGTTCAAGGAAGGTTGATGGTGTCAAGCGTTCACCAGTCCTAAAGCCTCGCGATCACAACAGCAGGATCCGTAAGCAGGATCACAACAGTCTCAACATCTCAACCAGTGTATCGATTGAGCAATTTTGATTGTACACTCCCTGCATGGATACAGTACACAATCTATTATCCGAAACCCTTGGGACCAGACACGTTTCGGAATTCGGAATTTTTTGGATTTCGGAATTGTAGTACAGTACAGATATGCATACCGTATATCCTGCAACTAGTCAGTACTAAAACCCAAGTTCTCAAGAGGCCAAGTGCTGTACCGGTACAGTACAATATGTATGAGAAATGCCGAACACATTAATATTTCTGCAGTGAACCTTTGCCGCCAAACGTGAGCTTTGGTGTGCAGACGACCTCCGCGAAAAAACTTTCGGTTTTCGGAGCATTTCGGTTTTCAGCATTTCGCATCATAGATTGTGTACTGTACTAGAAAAATCAACATCAAGCGACCTGTCCACGAGGTTGCCCCGGGAAAACACGCAATAAACACACGCGTATCACACACACCGACTCACGCCATCCCACCATTGCATAGACAACCGTCTAGCAGCCCCCCCAATATCAAACTAGGAGCATTTTCAACACAAGAACACACACACACACACACACACAACATTCACCACTAGAGAGCACGACCCTAGCACCAAATTCAAAGAAAGCGCCGCGCAGTAATAAATGCGCTCGCAGCACGGAACAGGCCCGCCAGGTGGCGCTACGAGGGCGTGTCCTCGGCGGCGTGCCAGCGCGACGAGAGCAGGTGCAGCAGGACGTTGGAGACAATCGAGGCGACCATGCTGACGATCAAGCAAAACTGGTAACGGTCGGAGAAGATGAGCGCGGCGATACGTGACTCCTGCGGCCACCAGCCGGCGCGCCACGACGGTGGCGCCCCCTCGTCACCGTGCACGGGAATGTCGAGCCACGACTTGCTCGGCTCCAAGCCTAGTCATAGACCGACGGACGACACCACCTGGTGGAAGTAACGGCTCTCCATCGGCAGAAAGTATCGCCGCTCCGACGCCACCTGGTAGCACTGAAAGCAAACACACGGAAGAGTTGAGTGTGGGTTTGCATGTGTGAGATTGAACGCGTGTGTGTACGATTGAGAGCGTAACATCCAGGCTTACTGGCATAGCTCGCTGGTTTTCTACACGACCAAGGCTTCGTTTCGCATGATTGTTGACTGTTTTGCTTGTGTGAAGGGGGGCGGGGAGATAACCCTGCATAGCACTCTCTCACACACAATTAACTTGGATCTCTCTCAGTCAACTCACTCTCCCTTTCTCTCTACGCTCTCTCTCTTTCTCGCTTTTTTATCCTTTTTTTTATTCTCCTTATTACAGGGGGAGGCTTCCTCTTTCGACCTCTCTCTCTCTCTCTCTCTCTCTCTCTCTCTCTCTCTCTCTCTCTCTCTCACCAAAACAAACTCACGTTCGAGTCGGAATGATTCCCAGCATTCACGCGGATGATGCTGTCCACTCTGTGAGCTGGTGGTGCCCTCGTCCAGCCGTCGTTGTCGGCAACCACCCACGACTTCTGGCGGAACCGCCGCTCGATGGGAAATATGTGGCCCTCTGTCGAGAAGACGTAACCGAGTGGATTCTTGTTCAGGTGATTGTCTTTGTCGAAGAGCTGGAGAAGAAAAACAAGCCTGCTTAGACGACTCTCCCACTTAATCTTAACCAAATAACTTCTTCTTCTTCTTCTCGGGTCACTACACTACACTCGACCTCGCCACTGCAGCACACAGGACTTGGCACGGTGGTTGAAAACCTCAAGGTCTCCATGGCTACAGGGCTCTGGTAATAGGGGGCATTCCAGGAGATGCCCCAGACATGTAACCGCGATATAACAGAGTTATAACGAGTTAATTACTCGCATGTACCCAGACTTCTTCTTCTTCTTCTTCTTCTTCTTTTTCTTCTCGGGTCACTACACTACACTCGACCTCGCCACTGCAGCACACAGGACTTGGCACGGTGGTTGAAAACCTCGAGGGAAGTGTTAAGTTTTCCATACTTTACAACGTGATGGTTGGCCAGTTTTACGATCTTGGCCACGTGTACACATCCCGCATTGCAGGACATGGAAAGCGTGTATGGTCGCCAGGTAATATATCTTCATTATATAACTGACGAGCGTGTGCATGCCACGTGGACAAGCCTGCTTTACACAAACATACGATCATGAATTCTCGGTGATTTGCTCTGTCAAAGGTGGCTAAACGACAATCATTACTAAGAGCGACAAAGAACAGTGGGTCACCCACTAACTGCCATGTGATAGTGATATGCGCAGTACCAGGTATAAATATTTGCACGTCTCGCTGAGGAAAAAGCTCTCCATCCTATCCTCCAGCGACTTGTCTCCGATGTCATGCACAGTAGCATAGCCACACCTGGTGACGAAGCAAACAGCTATATGATCGCTAGTGATGGGAATCGGTTGGAATTTCATCATCGATCATCAGTTGCACCCAACCGATCAATAATCAAAGATAATCGGTTGAATGTTATTGGTCGCAGCTACCCGATATTGAAATTTATCATATCTCATATAATACCGTATTTTTTTATAATACAATATTCTAAAAGCTATGTAACAGTATTACACTTGCTTATGTTTGGTGTAGGTTAGAGTTAAGCTGTTAAGTAACCAACAAACACAAAAATAAAATAAAGATAAATTCATTTCATTAATGTTTGCACATTGTATTAAATTTTTGTTTGTTTTGAAAATCGATTATTTATTTTCATAATCGAGCGCTTAGTCGGTTGCTGCAAACGACTGACTTTCAATTATAATCGATCATCGGGACATCACTAATGATTGCAGCATCCCGTAGGTTAGCATCCACGATGAGCAGAGTTTGGACGGCAGTGTGCAGGTAAAAGTGAGAATGATGTGCATTTAGAAATAGCAAAGCTTCGTCAACTCTGCGAGTGAAAGGGCGTGACGTGTCAGCACGCGATTTACTCTCCCCGAACAGAACAACATCACACACTGGATATCGTAGGCCGTTGACGCAGCAGCAAAAGATTGTGCGGCAAAGAAAAATCCGCTAGAAACAATCACGCAAAAATGTGCTGCCAAGTAACCATCTAGGACAGTGGTTCTTAATCTTTTTTGAGTCATGGACCCCCTTGGATTTGAGAATCTGGTGAAAGCTACGGACCCCTCCCCAGAAAAATGCACATTTATAAGGTGATTACGGTTTAAGGATGACTTAAGGCGCAACTACGGACACCCCCTGAAGCCCATCCCTGGACCACATGTTAAGAACCCCTGATCTAGGAGCTTTCCCCGTCGGCGCGCGCGCGTGGGCACTTACTGTGTCTTCGTGTACTTGTTGAGGCTGCGCAGTATATCTCGGCCGACGTGCAGATAGAACGGGTTCTTTGTCGCTTGATAGAGCAGGTAGGTCGACTCCACCAGCTCCGGTCGCAGTGGGTAGAAGCTGCAACAATAGTAGAATAAGTATACATATACATATAACTATACATTATATACATTTGTGTGTGTATATATATATATATTATCTTCTATTATCTACTCCTGATATTATATATATAGTATAAAAGTTCTTAGGTTGTACGATATTCAGTTGTTATAGTTAAAAAATGAATAATCCAAAATTTAGCTATTCGGAAAATTCCAATAGAACTTTTATACTATATATACAAGTTCTTAGGTTCCATGATATTCAGTTGTTATAGTTAAACAGGAATATATCGTTCAAATTTGGTTTTATGTACAGCTGCTTTCATCTTTATAGAATTTCTTCATGTGAGATGATAAGCGCTTGTGCTAAAACAAATTTCGGATTTGTTTGTTTTATTAACTATATATTTTATATATAATATATATGTATTTTTTATTATGTATGTATATATATGATTATATATAAACATAATAATATATTAAGGTTATGTGAGCGGTAAAATACAAAATATTATAGCTTGTAACTTGCCATCTTAATGATGAATTTAAAACATACTAGCCATTCGTTTTACCGGTGAGGGCAATGTAGACAAATTTAAAAATATGCGAATGTTGAAAATTCAGCGTGTAAACCAAAGCGTTTTTTTTTTACTAAGACTCTACTGCGCATTCGCTACCTGATGTCAGGGACCTTCAATCTCCAGTTGTATCGCTCCGGCAGGACTCCGTATCGTTTCCATATGGAATAATAGAGGGCGTGAGCGCATATTGCCTCCTCTATGTCACCACTAAGTACCTACAGACAAACGTGAGCAAGAGATTTTCCTTACTTGAGAGTCGGTTACTCATGAAGTGACAAAACACAGATTATATATGCAAGTAGTGTCTGTTACAAGCAGATGTTCACCCAAGCTGCATATAGTTAGAGATATATGTGCTTTTTTTTTTTTTTTTTTCTTTTGTGTGTGTGCGCTTGTTGCGTGTGTGTGCGTACATGCATGTGTGCGTGCATGTGTGTGAGTGCGAAAGCGTGTGTGCGTGCGAGTGCGTGTGTGTGCGTACATGCATGTGTGCGTGCGTGTGCGTGTGTGCGTACATGCATGTGTGCGTGCATGTGTGTGTGCGTGCATGCGCATCTGTGTGTGTGCGTACATGCATGTACACGCATGTGCATGTGTGTGCGTGCAAGTGCGTGTGTGTGCGTACATGCATGTACACGCATGTGCATGTGTGTGCGTGCGAGTGCGTGTGTGCGTGCATGTACACGCATGTGCATGTGTGTGCGTGCGAGTGCGTGTGTGCGTGCATGCGCATCTGCGTGTGTGTGCGTACATGCATGTACACGTATATGTGTGGTGCATGCGTGCGCACCATCACTCCGGCGAATGCTGCAGACAGAGAGTCGATCCACGTCGTCGCCGTGTGTCCGTTCTTCATGTTAACGTTCACGTAGAGCGGGTGATCGCCTACCCCTTGGTTGCAGTGCGGCCGCCTGTAAACCACATCACATGTGCTCAAAGTCACGCTTCACGCACACCCACGATAAACTTCCAGCGGTTTCCCCAAGCCTTAAAAGGTCCGTTTTGTCATGAGCACAAGATATTGGACAAATGCAATCTTTTGCCCAAAGCCTCGTATTGCCAAACCTGCCCATAGTGAAAGAATTATTGCATGGGAATTTAAAATCGCCAGACTTTCCAGATTTTCTAGAACACCTATAAAACCTGTTAGTTGACGCAATCTGTAACATAACGTATTTGGGCTGTCATGTGGCCAACCCATCTAGCCCCCCCCCTCCCCCCATGTAGGTATGTCACACTGATGATGTCCACCACGTACACTAAACCCCTGCAACATGCTCATCCGATTTTATAATAACATATTAAAAGTATATTTTATTTAAATAAAGTTAGAAATAGTTTCTAACCTCTTAGAATCTGATGGTAACAGGTCACAATGAATACTCATTCTGAACGCCTACCCTTTTCTCATGAACGACTTGATCCTCTTGTAGGAGTCGTTGAACATATCCAGATCGTCTGTTTCGCCGAAGAGGATGTACGCTTTGAGCAAGTATTCGTAGAAGGAGTCTAGACCGGCACCGACTCCACTGATTTTGCCCTTCCACTCGCCGGTGGTGATGTCAATGACATTACCTGCAGGGCCAGGAACACACGGCAATGGTCACGGTGAGGGACCAAAGGTCATTACTTGCCGATAGAGGTTAGCGCTAATAGGGAGCTATGCAAATCAAGAGGTCAAATGTTGCTATTACAGGGCCAGAGGTCAGATTTGACTATTTGTAGCAAGAGGTCAGAGTTGTGGTGACCCATATCCCTCGCTTTCTCACACCCCCCTCGCTTCACCCACCCCACTGCTTGCTTACCGTATATACTCGCGTAACAACCGCAAATTTGGCCACAGATTTCAACCCTGTATTTGCTCTGCGGTTTATAAGCGCGCCATACCGTGAGGGGAAATATACTAGGCGCAATACTTGGTTACCCCGATTCAAACTGAGGTGCGGCTTATAGGGGCCCGCGATTATTACGCGATCATATACGGTACCCAGCAGGCCGGTAGCTGCGTCGCGGTGGCGCCACAGTGCGCGGATGGCGCGGCGAGCGGCGCCTTCGTACACGGGGTCGTCGAGCAGCCGACTGAGCATGCCCATCTCCACTAGCAGCGAGCCGGCACCGGCCGTACACGTCGTGTTGTAGATGTCGACCGGCACTCCCCGCATCAGGTTCACCTAGCAAGATAAGACCCGGGGTAGAAATGAACTTTTGAACGATGGAGTCCGACGGACTCCCTGCCCTCAAAAGAATGGTGTCTGCAGCAAAATGAGGGAGTCCGCAGTCTGAGGTTCAAAACTAAAGAAATTAACAATAACACGTGTGCTTATTTTGAAGATTCATGCGGTTGCACGACTGCCAAATTGTCTTTGGACATTTGCTGGGAAAAAAAACAATTCCACGAGGCCATGCCCAGGAACGAACTAGTTAGTATAGCAGAATTTTCAGGGAGTCACATGGACTCCTGCATATGTCAACTCAGGGAGTCCGACTGTAAATCAGGGAGTATTTGACTCCGAACTCGCGTTAATTTCGCACCCTGTGAGACACACGGTGATGGCTGCAACTACGCACGCTGCGTGTGCCCCTGCACCGCCCCCACTCCGCACAAACACGTCTATGAGAACGTGCAAGAAGTAGCTATGCTAGTTGACAACGTGCGTGCACTCCACGGCAGTGAAAAAAATACACGGGGCCTCGGGGCGATTTAGCCCCCCGAAATGCCAAAAAGAGCCCCGGAAATGCCAAAAAGAGCCCCCGTAAATTTGCATAGAGTTCAATGCAAACCAAATTTTAGAGTGCTATTTTCATGCACGCGAGCTTGAAAAGTAGCCCCCGAAAAATAAATATTATTTTTTTCCCTGCAGTCCACGGAGCAGTTACGCCCCACATACGATGCACACAATCGTCTACGCCTCCAGACTGTTAGCATCACTTGCTGATAATTAGCTACACGTGCAGCTGAGATACTCTTGCACTGCACACTAAATTGGTAAAGCTCACAAGTATGCAAAGTGGCCAGACAGCTAAATGCTGTCAGTGGCCACGCAGCGACGACAGTGCTTACTGGGGGAAGATGACGACAAGGTTGCAACCTTACGGCTCGTCACCACCCCCCCGCGACCCTCCCATAACGATGTCTTACCATGGTACATATATTATTGTAAGTATCATCAATTTCAGTTCTATACTGCCTGATGATATCGTGTTTGCAAAATTGATTTTAATCGTAACGTTGTTAATACTAGTTTTGCAATAAACCTATTATCTATCTATCTGTCTCATAACAGCACCCTCCGAAGCAACCCTACCTTACCCTAGGATGCGGAATGCCCGTAGCGGGGTTCTCGAAGGCCGGCAGCAGCCGCGTGGCGAGGTCGTGAGCGAGGTAGAGCAGCTCATCGTCGTAGTCGAGGGGCGCCATGTCGCCAAACGGCTGCTGCCGATCCGTGATGATCAGGTGTGCCGACAGCAGGCCACCGATGACCCTGTAACGTAGGTGGCAATTGAGCAGCGGCAAAAACGCAACATCTCTCCCAGGCTTCGGCTTTTCACGGGGCCGATTTTTTTCCGGCCCCGTCAAATTTTGAGATTCCGAGAATCGAAAACGAGTCGAATAGCCGAGAAATGTCCGTATATCATATACCAAAAAGTAGGGAATAGGCATGGTAACAATACATATATAAATGTAGCAATGCTTTTATTACATAATTCATTAGTTTAAAAAAATCTGCCCCGTCTGGAGAAAATCGGCCTTTTTTAAGTGGCTGTTGACAATCGGCAGTGTAAACGCAAAAGTTGCGCGACCAACCGATCGACAGCAACTAGTTGGGAGATTAGAACATGTTTTATTTTTGCCAACTCTTTGTTTGCCGAATTGCGAAATTGGTCCAACTCGCCAATTCACCAACATAAAGTGGGTATAGTGTAAACCCAGCTTTATCCGGCATCAGCAGCTCATCGCAGAGCGCAACAACGCAGCTACACATACCGAATGTTAGCCTCGAAAACCTGAACCGTGCTATTCTTGTCAAAGGAAAGGTTTTCCGTGACGAGCCGAATGACATGCTTGAACTCGGAACTGTTGCCCATGATCTGTCCATAAACACGAAGGAACGATTACGCTTTTAATGTGAATAAGTTAAAGGCACAATTGTGAGTTAAAATAAGATGTTCATGCACACGTAGAAAACGCCCGTTTCGCTGAAACACGGTGGCATGAAAGATGGATGTTTTAATTAGTGTTTTTTGTAAGTATTTTTTAAATAAAATGTGCTACGAGCACGTGCGTGCGTGAGTGCGTGTTTTAATTTGATAATGAATATTTATACGCAGTGGCTACGCGTCCGGTCATCCATTACAAAGCTCAGCCCAGATTCCCAAATCCACGTCACGATTAGGCCACGCCCCCTTTCAAATCGTATATTTTACTGGATTTACTACTGCTTCAAAAGTTACAAAAGCACATTTTTTGGATTAAATACTATGGTAAAAACTTAAATTATTTATTGTTTTTTTACTGGAAAAATATAGTTGGGTTCACATAAGAAATATATGACCGGACACGTAGCCCGTGAGCTGTGGCTGTAGCCACGGCCATATTTATAAGCCACTTACCGCAAGGGTGTCAAGCACATCAACCAGTGTGAGGCAGTAGTCTCCAAGAACATCGTTGATATTTATATTAGCCCTAAAAGTCATCAAACCATATTTCATAAGAAGTTATAACAAGTTATTTCGGCTGTAAGCAAATTGCATTCTAGAATAGAGAGGACCATGGTTTGTAGCATGCTAAAGAGCTAGTGGGGCTAGTGGGGTTAGTGGGCTTTTTATAAATGCAATCAATGTGGGCGTTCCAGTGAAGGTCGCTGTGTATGACAACACCCAAATACTGGTATGTCGGAGCAAGTGATAGCGACTTAAAATAAAGTGGGTAGGTAAAAGATAATGGGGATTCAGAAACTAGAATTGTATTATAGCTGCAGGTTGCACACCACAAACACTATAAACTAGACAGAATGCACTCACAGAGAGTGCATATACCTCCGCCAGCGACATATGCCATACGACCTACAAATACACAAATAACGCACGATATACGCAAGCGTACTGACATATACACGCTGGCTTGCTGGCTTGCTGCTCGCTCGCTCGTAGCAGCCGCTCGTTGCTGCTGCTCGCTCACATGTACACGCTTGCTGGCTTGCTGCCCACTCGCTCGTAGCAGCCGCTCGTTGCTGCTGCTCGCTCACATGTACACGCTCGCTGGCTCGCTGCGCTGGCTGGCTGGCTCGCTGACTTGACGCGCTAATATCAATCGCGCGAACACACGACTTGCACGAACGCACGAGAGCGATCACATAACCTCCTCCAACTCCGTTGGACGGAGGTAAATATATCACTGAATTCACTAGGTGCTGATTTTAAATGAAACTTTTAGACTGGGTTACTGCGTACCTTACAGTAGCAGTGTGCTACTACTCGGGCCGACACTAACAGTTGAGGTCTTGTGGGGTATATATGGTAGCCAGTGACCAGGGAAAAAAATATAATTTAGTTTTCGGGGGCTACTTTTCAAGCTCGCGTGCATGAAAATAGCACTCTAAAATTTGGCTTGCATTGAACTCTATGCAAATTTACGGGGGCTCTTTTTGGCATTTCGGGGGCTAAATCGCCCCGAGCCCCCATGTATTTTTTTCACTGCCAGTGACTGAAGTCAGGGGCGATTCTAGGTCGTATTCCTGCTGTTCCGGAATACGGTCGTCATATTTCAAACGTCCTACAAATGTTTTTTTCAAATCTGTGATAATTACATGGTTAGCAGCTTCTTGAATAGTATTTTATCTGTTTTTATTGTAAAAATGTTTAAATCTAGCTCATTGATTATTTTAGCTACATGAATTTCTGAGAATGATGGAGATGATGAGAAATTAGAAATGTCTCTAAATTGCATCTCCCAGTGGCAAATTTGAAAAAAATTCCCCCCTCGTGCTCACCCCGCGTCGGTGCTATACGCACCTCGGCATGCTGGCCGTGGTCACCTGTGGACTTTTTTAAGTGCCATTTTTTAAGGAATATGGTCATTGTTTACCCCTAGATCCGCCCCTGGAAGTGAATGATATGTATTTATCACATATTTCCTTAGCTAAAGTATTACAACTACGCACATTTCAATATAAGAATCACTATTGCACTCAGTGGTTAGGCCCCTGGTTCAGTGGTTGTTTGCCATCCAAAGTTCATAACGGGTTACACGATTCACCCAAATCCACCCCCAAATCCACCAAATCCACCCCCAAATCCACCAAATCCACCCCCAAATCCACCAAATCCACCAAATCCACCCCCAAATCCACTGAAATTTACTCGAACGCTATTCAATTTACCAAAATGATGGCAAATCCACTGAAATTCACTGAATTCAGTGAATTCAGTTAACCCTAACCCTAACCCTAACCCTAACCCTAACCAAATCCACTGAATTCACGTAAATTGTGGCAAGTGTCAGAGTATTTGGGTGAATTTCAGTGGATTTGCTATCATTTGGTTAACATTGAGTAGAGTTCGAGTAAATTTTAGTGGATTTGGTGGATTTGGGGGTGGATTTGGTGGATTTGGGGGTGGATTTGGTGGATTTGGGGTGGATTTGGTGGATTTGGGTGGATTTGGGTGAATCGTGTGACCCTTCATAACAACAAGATCCTGGCGATGAAACTAGCCACAACACGCCCAGTATATCCAGTATAAATAGTATATCCAGTATAATCCACCCATTTACCATTTAACCTTACGGATTATCGTGGTCAGGTCCTCTTCCGACGCAATGAATAGGGTCGAGTTCATCTTTTGGGAACGCGTATTTTATGTAGTTGTCGTAACCAAAGTAAAACATCTGCTTCGCTTCCTCCAACATCTGCAGTCGGTCGAGTTCAGAAAAATGCCCATACTTCTCTGAATAGAAATCGGTTTTATAGTAGGGATAATCATTTCTCACTGGCACTGCTACAAAACACAAGAAAATAACAAATGTGTAGACAGTGGCGTTTGACATTGTTCTGAGGGTGTACAGCAGCGCATTTTAACTGCGATTAAATAAACGTAACATCGGCATGTCACAAATTACGACACGTATAATCACGACTATGTTTAGTTTAGGATGGGAATGTATGTCATTTCGTGATTGCAACACGGAAGCGCCTAACAACGGTGTGAGGTACTCCGCCTAATAGAAGTAGTTCTATTCCACAGCTGAAATAAAATTGATAGGTTTACAAATCATAGTTGAAAAAAAATTATAATTTACATGATTTGATGAAATTAATCGTTTTTTATTAAATCCGAGTCGTCCTTATTCATTGGTAAACCATTTGCTAACTTCCGCGCATTTATTTTCAACGGGTGATCTACATGTTATTTGGAGACAGTGAGATTAATTTTCCATTGGCTGTCTAGTTTTGGATGCTTCACACGTTAATTTTTTGTTTCGACATAGAAATAATAAGAGAGATATAATATATTATCAGGAGTTAATAAAAGACAAATTTGTCTTTTATTAACTCCTGATATTATTTATTTGTCTATTATTAACTGTCTATTGTTATTGTTATGTTATTATTGTTATTATTGTTATTGTTTTTGTTATTATTGTTATTGTTATTGTTATTATGTTGTTGTTATTATATGTTATTGTTATTGTTGTTATTATTATTGTTATTATTGTTATTGTTAATGTTATTATTGTTATTTATGTTATATGTATATTATTGTTATTGTTATTGTTATTGTTATACTGTTATTGTCTATTGTCTGTTATTATTTTATTTGTCTTTTATTAACTCCTGATATTATTTCTATGCGTAACACAGTTTAGGGCGCCCATGGGCAGAATAGTCCAGTGGATAAGCACATGAAGCGTGCACTTTTGGGTAGAAGGCGTCCATAGGCAGCAGGCCTGAATTATGAATAAGCATCGAACAGAAATTAATTAAAAATACTTACAGTTACACTGTTTCGTCGCATACACAACATACACTTTATTCACGTTAAATAACTACAGATTCATGCTCTATGCTCCGCTCGAAACTTTTGCCAGCTCTATGATGCGAATTTCTACAAAGTATTCGGATCACATATGATTTCAAACACAAAAATGACCAACCGGTCACCATGGCTACGCCACTTGATGGACCCCTTACATGCAAGGTATATTCGTCCTATTTCTTAAGTGAGATCTACGGATGGTATGTTATCATATAAATCTATGCTCGGATACCTGCTCTTCATTTTAAATGCATAATTTTTGCAAAATAATATTCTTCTCATGAGATATTGCGCATGCGCGAGCACCGTTTCAAGCGCTCAGAACGGACTGAAGCAAACTGCATAAGATAGTTTGCTGAGTGAGAGAGGGGGTGGGAGACTGAGGACAGGCGGCAGGGAAAATAGCTGAGGGCGGTAGAAGATTAAGGAGTCTAAGCGAGGGGCAAGAAAGGCAATGGGAAAATAAAACGGGGTAGCAATGGGATATATAGGCAGATAGGACGCACCTGCGAACGGGCATCGCTTGCTGCTTTAGCCAAGGTCTGGTTTTGACAGACTAGTTTCTGCTAGATCCGGTTTCAGCCGATATATATAAGCAGCAATTGATAAGACAAGAGAGAAGATTTAGAGAGACACTATGTAGTCAGTCAGAGAGAGATCGGGACGAGGCGCAGGAGCCTAGGCATGGTTGCCTAGGCTGTGGTAGTGTATATATTTGTATGTGTTGTGTTAAAGGGAGAGTTTACTCTAGGTTTTAGGGTTACTTTCAGCTAATTTAGGTTATAATTACGCTACATAAAAAGTTTCATGGTTCAATCACCATTAGAAATATTATTAAAAAATGTTTTAAAACTAACGACTACAGTTTGATTACAACGACGGTGGCGCCACTCAAAGTGACTGATCTGAAAAGTTTCGCAAAACCACTTTCCAGCCAAGGGCTACAGACCGAGGGTGTTTCTTATCATTCATTTAA